ATAAAAAGTAAATAAAAAAAGTTCTTATCTTATAGCTTAAAAGGTATTAAATTTCAAAATGTCAAATTTTAGTATATCTTTTACAAGAATTTGACAGCATTGAAATAGATATTTTTATTAATTAGTATTACTTTTATTTTTATGCACATTTTATGTATATTTCATAGTAATTTTGTGCTTTTATGTAAATGTAATTGACATGTTTTTGTTTTTATCCATCACATTATTTTTTTAAATAATCACTTAGGTAGATTTCGTAATTTTTTTTATTATTAAAAAAATTGCTACTCCTTATCAAGAAAAATATGCAAGAAATAAATACACTTCATTGATGCATCTTTTAGTGGAAGATAAAATTAAAAAATTTAAAGTTTTTTTTATTTTTTATGATTTAATTACTTATAACTATTGCTAAAAGCCTTTTTATTAATTGACATACAAATAATTTTATAGAAATTACATCAAGAAAATAATTTAAAAATTTATAACACAGACAGTTTTTTTAATTTTAATATTAAAATCCAACTATAAATTTTGGTATTTTTGTTAATTTATGTGAAATATTTTTGATACATCGTGGGCATACTTATGCCTTTATGAAGTAATTGGTAATCATATCTTCTAGTTAAGGAAGATCTGGAAAAAAACAATAAAAAAATAAAATAAAAAAAATCTATTGTTTAAATATAATAAGATTATATATCTTATAATACTATAGTAACCAATAATTAATGAATAAATTTAACAACACACCTATGTAAGTATATTTCACAATTATAAAATTTGGTCAAAGTGTAATAACATTTGCATCCCACAAAGTTATAATGTCTAAAGGATTTCTAAAAACAAAAATGTACAAGCAATAATCTTGCTACACTTGACTTTCCTTTGTCAATAACATTTGTTTTTACACAAAGCCATTCTATATCATCTTTTAAGTATCTACAAATAAGAGCCATATTATAAAATGAAGAATAGAGCACATAGTTATAACTCCTAAGATCTGTAAAAGAAAAAAGTCTTTTAATGTAAATAATATAAAATATTTATCCAATAATAGAATACCTGCAATACTAGAACACTTGTGTATATATAAATATTTTCCTTTGCCAAATGTAATAATAAAAATATAATATATATAATATTTTTAGTGACAAATTTATTTATACAAATCACATATAATTCAAAAATATATAATTTTTCCTCTATTAATTTATTTAAAATTTATGATATTTATTAATCTAAAAGATAATTTTGCAACCGTTTAACATTGTTGCTCTTATTCTGCAACTTTTAATCTAAAATATTCTAATACGTTTATTGTGATAAGACAAACAAGCATCTAATTATTTTTAAAAAATTACTATAAATTACTGTGTTATTTTTTTCTTCTTGTATAGGATTTAATAGAAAAAAAATTATACTTTTATATTCCTTGGAAAGATATTTATAAAGTTACTTCTTGAGATTGATTATGAGTGGTCAAATGTCTAGAAAATAACAATATTATAATCAACTATCTATTAAGTATTTAAAATAAATTATTCAATTTTATATTTATGCTATTGTTTGTTTGTTTTTGTTTTTTGTTTTTTGTTTTTTTTTTTTTGTAATACCATAATCAAATATTTTTACTATTTTGAACCTTGTCTTAAAATAATTTTTCAAGACTGTTATTTTTATTTTTAAAGTGAACTGTAGTCTATGCATTTAGCACATAACATTGAATATTATCAAGGCTCATAAATCATGTATTTTGTTACCAAAGCATAAACTTAAAATTAAGTCTTAAGATTGGAAATTTACATTGAAACAGTAATGACATAAAAAGATGAATCCTTTAATTTTTTCATCTTAGTATGAAATATTAACATAACAAAATATACTTTTGGAATTTTATAAATACGTATATATATATATATATATATATATATATATATATATGTATGTATATATATATATATATATATATATGTATGTATATATATATATATATATGCTATATTTTGAAGACTTTTAATATTAGAAATCAATATATATATTCTCCAGTAACCAAATGAGAGCAATTTAAATTTGTTTGATTTTCTACTAATTCTTTAAAAAAAATAACTATTATAGATTGCACACATAAGTAACAAAAATATTCAACTTGCCATACACTTTTATTGTGCTTGTAGTATCTTGATAAGATTGGTACATATATTTACCATTTCTTATATAAAATATATGTATATATATTCCTGCAACTAATAAATTTCTAATATTTTGCAAGTAATTGTCTAACCTTAATTGAAGTTTAGTACAAACACTATGTTGGTTTAATTAGAGCCAATTAAGATGTGATTGATTGAATTTTGTGTATTTATCAATAGAATGTTGCTAAAAAGCCTTCAAAAAAAGTAAATATAGCTATAAAATTTATAACATGTAAAAAAATACCAAATGACATACTATATAATTATAATAAAAATATTTTTTTAGAAACTAAAAACCATTATTGGATATATATAATACCTTCAATTATAAATTATTTATAAAAAAAACACACGCAAGTAAAAAAAAATAGCCACAAAACAAATTATAGAATTAAGAGTCTAGCACTAGTATTCTGTTACAAGAGAATATTTTCCTTTGATCATTCTCATTAGAAATTCTAGAAGCATGACATCCCAAAAAAATGTTGAGATAGTTAGGTTCTTCCATGTTGCATGGTGTTCAATGCAAAAAATTGTCAACTGTTCATAGACTCTACAATTAAAGCCTGAAGTGAATATACAAGACATTAAGGAGCACCACTCAAAGCAACTAAACTGAGGAGCATACTCAGTCTTAAAGGTTTGTATGCAACAATGATTCTATTGTAGAGTTAGAGCTTCATGTAGATGGGGCAATTAATAATCTAGCATTACCATGCCAAGCTTCAACACCAGGTCTTTTTTGCAAGTTCAGTGGCTTTCAATCACATGCCTGTCTTGTCAATGTTTAAATAGTGTAGGTCTTAGAGTCTTTTTTGCTTATTACAGTTGCAACAATATATTTTAAACTTACTTAAAGCTTAACAAGGATCATTTGCTGATTTGCAAATTAAGTGGTTGTCAAGCTGCACATGTGCCATGCCAATGTTCAAAAATGCAAATTTTGTAGTATTTTTTATGTCATGTTACAATTGCAACAATGTATTTTATACATACTCAAAACTTAGTGTTTTCAATATACTTGAATTTTAGTGTGGGTCATTGGATGGTCATTGTGAATATGCCAAAAGTGTTTGATGAGAAGTGATGTGCTTCAATTTAGAATAAACAACTGTAACCAAATCCAAAAATGTAACAAAAGAATAGAGATTCATATAGTTGACATCTATAAACATTTGGCAGATGAATCAACATACAAATGATTAAATAGACACATGATAGATATATATAATCCTTTAATTGAATTGAAAGGAATCCAAAAAAAAAAAAAAAAAAAAAAAAAACTCTAATTTCAATATATAAGATATTTTTACATGCACACATTTACACAAACACTAAGTTGTAATTTAAATCTTGGAAAAAGTTATTATATATATATATATATATATACATATTCACATATACACTGATGTAAAAGCAACACAATTTTTATCAAATAATTTCATGTTTCATCTCTTGTATAAACCAACATATTATTTTTAGGACATTTAACCATGAATATTATGGCCAGCACAAGTTCAAAAATGTAAGTCATGCCAAAAAGTCAATCTTTGTCAAAGTTTCTTTTTATGGCAGTGAAAGCTTTTCTTTTTTTCTTTTTTTCCGTTGCCTGAAATGGAAATGCCACGTGATGGTCCCTACAACTTTGATTGTTGGACAAATAATTTCACTATTTTATGAAAATAAGGGAAGAAATTACAAAAAACCAGAAAAAAGAAGAAGATTAATTACGTCGACAAAATTGTTATAATTTATAGATATTACTTATTATATGCAGGAATGAACAAGTGTCATAACGACAAGTTGCAAAATGGATGCCTTGATTGTGAGGGAAAGTCTAGGTTGAAAAGTTAACATGGGGCATCATTCTCCTAAAAAGTATCTTTTGTGAGGACCACAAGAATGGGAGGAAGTTGATTTCCAAATGGTGCCCAATGGTGGGCACAGGGAAAAGATCTAAAATAATATTCCAAATAATAAAACTGTTCCCCATCAACTCTTCCTGGAGCCAAGCAGTTGCCACTTTACCACCCCCCATCTCCTTCTACGAAAAAGCGCAGTCTACCACCACCACCACCACCACCACCACCCCCATATCTAAAACCCTACACCCATCACCACTATAATCAATAACCTTCCCAAAATACAACCCCATTGCACATTTGGAAACTCAAACTTCAACACTATCATACTCAAACACATCATCCCATAGAATGCTTTGTCTTGTGTCACCACAAATTTGGCTCTTGTCAACTGACTTTGCTTTCATTCTTTACAGAAGTAAAATTCGTAGTGAATTGTTGTAGTAAATGCTCATCAAGCAACGCTTCCTCTTGGAAGAGCAGGCAAAACATGGACCTGGAAATCCCAACACCATCAGGTGATGTACCTCCTTGATTTATGTGGGGGTGTGAACAAGGGTATTATTCATCCCTATTGAGGCTAAGCTTGCTGATGCGTGGCTGCCTGCATCGTTGTCTCCGCTTCGCCATGTTTTGCGAGGAGGATGCAAAGGAGAGGCCATGATGTCTGAAGCCATCTGGTCGACCCCCCATCCCCGTTTCGGAACCACGGAAGGGAGCTGCCATAGCTCAGGGCAAGTAACTCGCGTACCCACAAGTCCGATCGCTTGGTCTCGGTGGAGCTCTGCCTCACTCGTACTCAAGGGGCGGTGGGCACCACTTCGGCAGCAGCTTTGAGGAATCCTGAGCCTCCTTCTCCGTCTCTCCTCCCCGTTGCTGAGCATAAAAGCCTTCTCGTGAGTGATGTGAAGCGAAATAGAGGGACCGGACGATACGAGCGTGGTGGCCACTGTTCAAACCTTGCACTAAAAATTTTTTAAAAAAAAAGGCAAAAAGATATTTGGGGGGAAAGAGGAGTCTCGTCCTTGAGACTTGGCATGGTTTGGGTTACTGCGTGGGATTGCGAGCCTGCCAAATGTGCGCTCCGTCTCATGCAGAAGCTCTTTGCACGAGGTACATGGTGGGATGACCAGGCGGTGATTCGGGTGGGAAAGGGTCTGGAGAGTCGTTCTGCAGGTTGCAGGCAATCGGGGAGCTTCCATCTGGCTTCAGCGTGATCGTGTGCAGTAAATAAGCCACTGTGAGGGGCTCTGAAGATTTTATCTCGCGATAATGTCGAGAGCTTCGAGGTATGATGGCATAGTTTGCCGGGGTGATTCACCTGTAGGCTACTTTTTTGCATCTTTTTTGTTTTTACGTGGCGTAACTTGGAGCAGTTGAGGGCCCAGATTTGTTTTCGTTTGAAAGTGTAGGTCGCCCTCGGGTCTACGCACTGGGAGCTGCCCCACGGAACAAGCATCCGGTGTAGGTTCTTCTTGGAGGAAATGGCAAGGCACGGTCTGGTCTATTGCACAAGAGCAAACGTAAGGTCCATGGCTGTTCTTAAAAGCTAAATTTAAAAAATAAAAAATAAAATAAAAAATAAACATGGAAGTCGGTACTGGCGATCGTTAGGAGTTCAGTGCTGAGTTCTGCGAGCGTGAAGTTGGGCCCAGCTCAAGGAAGATGATGGCGACCAGGAGGCTGAATAGAGGCATTTGTTTGATGGATGCTGTGAATGAGGAGTAAAAGGAGATGCAGCAAGGGTTTGATGAGTGGTGGCGTTTCTGTGACGTGACGGCTGCCGAAACCCGAGTAGCGATGCGTGCAGCGTTCTGTAGCTGTAGCGGGGAAGAATGGCAATTTGATTTTGTGTTGGAATTCGATCAGGGCGGTTTGGTTCGCTTAGTTTTTCTGCCGCTGTGATGCCTGTGTATTTTCTTGGAAGAAACTGTTATACTACGTTTCGGACCCGCGCTTCTTAGCGGTGTGTGCATTTTACACGTCGTATTGTGGCTATGATATTGTTGATTCTGATCTATTGGATGGTCATCTGTATTGTCTATAATGCACATATGTCGCATTTATTTGTACTTCAGACAGACAGAGCTCCGCATTTTCTGGTTCTAGAGAACGATTTATACACAAACTGATTACTTGGTATTCTTAATTACGAGCAGGGTCAAGAAATCTCTTCCAGAAGAATTAAGGAAAAAGCCTGAAGCGTCATTTCTGTCAGCCTTTGTATCGGCCTCCTTCGCTACGACCATGTGTTATCCGCTTGACACTGCACGGCGGCAAATGCAAATGAAGGGCTCACTGTTCAACTCTTTTCTTGATACTAATCCAGGTGCGTCATTTTACCACATTTTTGTAGATGGATGTAGAAGGGTAGAATGAAACTACCCATGTATAAATTTTGAGTGACTTCTGTGCAATACTTTCTGGATATGCTGTGGCCTGTTATAGGTTGATTGTTATAAGCTCACTAACAAAAGGCAAAACATGGAATTTACTTGACAATCTTTTTGAGAACGATCCTCCACAATATCATGAAGATATTCCCCTAATTGTGGATTTATCTGAATCTCCTTTAGGTATTGTTGCTCGAGATGGTTTCCATGGTTTGTACCGCGGTTTTGGTCCGAACGTGCTGAAAAACCTCCCAAACAGCAGGTATCATATCTTAATCATTCATGCCGTTCACAAGATGTGCCAGTTGTCAAGGGGTCGTACCATATAGGTGCATGCCAGTTCTTATGGATATGCGAAGAGAGTCAGTTTTAATTCGTTAGATCATCGTCGAATAAGTTGACCCACAATAGTCCCTAAGTTTGATATTTAAGGATGTCTATCTCAACGTCTGTGTTTCTTTATCGTAGACGAATTTGAACAATTGGTATATTTAATGTTAAGGGTTTTTGCTTTTCTTTTAAATTACTGAGTTGTTCTAAAACACCCATTCGAGTGAGGATCCAATGTTGAGCTCTCCTCTTTTGCTGATGAACTAACGATTCTCGACTCTTGTTTGTAGTATTCGATTGACGACCTTTGATGCTGCCAAGAATCTAATTACCGCTAGCCAGGCTGAGTACCAGAGAGTTCTCGAAGAGCATCAGAAATCTTTCACCAGTTCTTAGACGTCGACGTTATTTTTAATTCATTTATTTAATCCACATTTACAATTTTGGCTTGGATAGTAGTCACTTTATTCAATTGAAGATTCCCAACCATTTGCGGATGAAGGTGAGGAGCTGATGAACTCACGAAGGCTATCCGTCATGACAGTCTATATCCAGGAGCTCAACTTTTGATAGAATTTGTGGTTTGGCCAATTGGCTTAACAAGCTCATTGATGACCATGGACATTATTGTGAGCGATGAGTTCGACTTGGCTACTTCCGACATTTTATCTCTAATATTACCCACTGGGTTGCTGACGCTGGTTTAAGTTGAACTTGCACCTTGTGATCATCATCATCCAACTGTGACAATGTGTAGATCTTGTGGACTGTCTCGCTGAATGTGTCTCGAGTGACTCTGATGCTGTCCGTGGTTTCGAAGGTTGGGCGTTGCTAAGTTGGAATGAATTTGGGACGAAGTGCATAGGACACACTTACAAGTAGGCGGGATTTCAATTCTGCAAAATGAGAAAGGTCAGAAAGAAAACCCCTCTTCCTGAGATACAGGAAGAAGGGCTCCTGACTCCACTTCGTAGAGGGCAATCTGCATATGTTCAATCAACGAGCACAGACTTCAGAAGGTTCACTGACTTGGAGTCGGGACCGCAAAGTGAGCCCTCCCTCACCTCACATGTTGAGATGGCAGCTGCTCTGGTTGATCAGGTAATTTGTCATGGTCTGCATTTGATTTTTACTTCTCACAGCAGTAGACGATGGCGTTTTCCGTTTCACACCACCCGCATAATATGCCAATCGCATATTTATGTCCTTCTCGAAAACATGTCATTATTGAGAAGCAGCTTGATTCGGAGTTGGACTTAATACCTGCTTACTTCATTTATAATTCTTGGAGATTAGTAGCGTCATTTGCGTCTAGAGAGTTGTTTTGAAGTGATTGTTGTGTGTTGCAGGCGATGATGGGCAGGTGGATGCCATTGGCTGTGGTGTATCACAAGGACTATCAGAGTGCCAAGAGCGCTTTTCTGCTGTATCACCAATTTTTTTTTGTCAGAGGCATCGTATATTTTCTGTTGATGGTTCTTCCATTTTTCGAGGTCAGTGATACTGCACCTCAAGTTCAGGACGTACTGCTTAGTCGAATCAAAGACATAGATCAGAGTAATTAAGAAAAAATCTTCCTGATTCATGGTAGGAATTTCTCCTGTTAGTTAAAGAGATGAACATGACAGCATTCGCTATTACTTAATGTTAGATTCATGAAACATTGTGTCCTCAATTTCACCTCTTGTGTAGGTTTATTCTTGGGGCTAGTCTAAGTTTCTGTGGCTTGTGTGTAGATTCCTGCATGGTGTGATGGCGATCTGCCACATCCTTGTGGAGACCCACAAAAGTACCCTCTCAGTGGCTTACCTTATATTCGTCCATGGATATCTGTTACTATTCAGGTTTGTGTTTTGCTGGTCACTTTGTGCAAACAGTGCTTTTCATGTGAAATTTCTTCTTTTTAATATTTTAGTAATTGTAGACATTGTGTTACTCAATAAGCCATCATAAGAAGCGCTCAAATTGTTTGTTGTAATGTCGAGTTTCTCTTATTTATGTATGTGTATCCATTCTGTTTACTAGATAACTTATGGATTGATAAAACTGGTAAAACTCCCTCATACTCAGAATCATATGGGTTAACAAATCTTGACGAATTTCTGTGTGTAATAGTGTGCTCTTTTTTAAGATGGGACATATCATGTACTCTCTTTTACTACTTATTGGTTAAACCATTTTGCAGGTGTTTTGTGTAATGGTGCTAGTTTGGTCCGTCTGCCTCCAATGGTATTTTCTAAGGGCGCAATTTTGGGTTGGTCGCGTGGGAGTATACAAGGTTCTCTTTTTGTCCTTAAAATGACATGATACATTCAATTCCTCAGAATGTTATTTGGAGTTCATTTAATAGTTATCATTTGATAGTTATTTGACCGAGTAATACCTTTAGACGTTTTGATGAGATAATCTTTTGGCAATGGAGAGCAGGTGGTAGTTTTAAGTTTGATGGTAATTTCTACACTTACCTCGACTATCGGATTATCTGAATTGCGTGGAATCAACTTATCCATGTACATTCGGCTACTAGTTCCTATCGTCTTTAGCAGGTATATCTTTGACTTGATCCAAGTTCGAATGATTTGATGTTGATGTGCATGCCAGATAATGTTAGAACGTCATAGGCGCCACTCACTTATCTTTCCAGCTCACTGTTTGCATTTCAACCCTCTTCAACGTTTTGTTTTCTAATTGTATGGTCAGGTAATTTATGAAAAGCTTATATATATGTTTATGGTATGTGAATAGCATGGGTATAGTACATGGAAAAACTAATTCCTACACGCTTTTGATGTTTGTATCCCTCGTTAATGGTTGGTTTCTTTGGCAACAGGGCTATACGAGGTTGTTTCCGTATGACAATGCGAATTGTACACACGTTTATGGATATAGCGGTATTTTTAAATCTGCATTTACAAAACTCAATACGATTTGCTCATTGTGCTCAGTACATTCTGTTTCAGTTTGTCCATGTTAATATTTGATATGCAGGAACAGATGGCAGAACAATCTCTCCTTTGCAGTTTCTATTGCTTACTAGAACCCTGTGGTTTTTTGTGTTAGGTGCTGGTAGGGACATTTGTATTACTCTCAGCCTGGCTGGCAACAACAATATTCTCAGAGACGTCGGTTGAGTTCAAGGACTTCAGCACATCCCTGCTAAGCCTATTTGTGCTGCTAACAACTGCAAACAATCCTGTTGTTTGGGCTTCAACATATGATACCAACCGCTTGGCATTCTTCTTCTTTTTCTTCTACATGATTGTGGGGTTATACTTCTTGATGAACTTGGCTTTCTCCGTGATTTACAGCAGTTACAAAGCACAGGTATACCGATTTATCAATCCTGTTTGATAATGTGTACCGTCCTGTAGCTAATCTCCTATTCAAGTGGGAAGTTTATATAATTTTGTGTACCTTCAAGTATTCTATAGTATATTTTCTTTCAGATGACCTAGTCAAACCTTTTGCCATTTGGTACACAATGGAATCCTCTTGAAAAGGTCTTACTGTCATTTTCTTTCTTTTCAATGACTAATTACAGTGAATATAAAGTACAAAGTATTAAGATGTTTGAAGTATGATTACGATGGGCGAACTCATCAGTCGCTTCGTAGTTATGCTAAATGCCTTGCTCTGAGATACATGTTTTCATGTTTTACAGATGGCTGTTGAGGTTGCTAAGCGTATAACAGCACGTCAAGGAAATTTGAGGGCGGCTTTCAGTTTGTTAGATACTCGCCATCAAGAATGGATCGATGGTGCAACAATGGTTGCCCTTTTCCTAGCTATTGGTCGCTACAGGTGAGCTTGTACAAATTCATTCTTTATGTGATTGATAGTATTGAATTGGTTTTTGTAACAAGCATCTGATGCACCTCATTTTCTTGTTATTTTTCTGAGACTGAAAGCTCGTCTCATTATCATTGATAAATATTCGTTGCGTCCTTGGTTTATCTGAATGTCTGCATCGATTGTTTTTGGTAAAGTATCTTTCCTATTTGAATATGAAGCAGTAGTAGTAAATTCATCACTTGATAAGGTAAATGTGGAACTCATATAATTTGGGCACTCCAAAACTTCATTGGCGATTTGTTGGGGTGCAGGCACATACCTGATGTTCGAGCTCGGGCTAGCCGACTTTTCCTTGCCCTCAACAAACGTGGAGATTTCAAGATCTGGTCTGATGAGTTTGAAGAACTCTGTGATGTTATTGCAAAAGAGGTGGAACGGCAACCAGTTATTTCACGTCTGAAGAGGCGCCGCAGCAACTCTGATATTAACTTCATAAAACACCCCTTTTACAATTACGTCATCTGGGCTTTGACACTCTCTTCTCTATCGATTGCCATTGCCGCACTGAATGTATGTTTCTTACTATTCATTCACTTCTGTTTTCTTTTTTCTTTCATCTTTTTCTTTTTTCTTTTTCTTGTTGAGTTTGGTGATAGTTGGATGCTTTGTTTACCAATCTTAAGTTTTTCATTTACATTCTGAGGACGAAATTGCTTCTGAATATTATCAGAGATATTATAGCATCTTCATAGCATTCTTAACTATTCTCACGATAAGTTGAGATTTATTCATTATGTCAGTCTTCTTGTTCGTAGAGAACATCTTATTTACACATTCTGAAGAAATGTGGTATGAGGCGTGTGGTTTACATTTTTGTTCAGCTTCCTCCCGCGAATAGATTAATGCAATTACCAACACTTCAACAGACCCATGTCTCGTTTGAAGAGGATAAGCATATATATTTATGAAAAAGCTAACATGTGCCTCCTGGTAAATGCTGTGCAATGAACACCGGCAGGTCGGTGGGGCAGTGCAAACGTTGTTGATCAACCTTGAATTTCTATTCGGTAATGACAGTTCTTAAATCTTCTGTAATGAGTTGTACTTTGTTAATGTGTTTTGTTGGCTCATACTCTTGGGAAGGGTGTTGCCAGTAGAATGCAAACTGTAATATTGTCTCTTCAACTGTTTTTCACAAGGAACGTTCAAAATTAGTGGTTTTTCTCTCACTGTTTCAGTCACATTGTGTGTCAATGCAGGCTGGATTTTTGTTATGGATGGTGTGCTGAAGGTATGTATACAAGGTTGGAAATTCTATTGGAGCATTCATGTAAACCGATTTGATTTTGTTGTCACATTCCTGATTGTGGCTGTTCAAGCTGTATCCCATTTCCATGACGACGCTCGAATCTGGTGAGTGATGCTTCTTACATAATTCTACAACCTCATCATCCTCATGTCTTGAAAATATCTTATGTCCTGTATTTGAGAAACACTCACTCTGTCGGCAAGTCTAAATTTCAATCCTTTGCTTAATAGTCTGCTTCTTGCAGTGTTACGTTCTCACTGGTTGATTGATTGCTGTTCAGGGTTTCTTACTTAATCATGGCTCGTAGCTTTCGAGTTCTTGCGCTTGTCACTATGATCTCTCGCTGGCGTTTGATGGGCGAAACATTGGTACACGTGATTCCGGCAACTGCTCCGATACTGGTGCTTCAGTTCCTCGTCTGTTCTCATTTTGCCTTACTGGGAATGCATCTCTTCGGGGGCCTTATTTACAAGGAGAACGCTGCGTTGGCATACACCGAGTATGCACAACATGAGTTTTACGCATTCAATTTCAACGACTATGCGTCAGCGATGGCTACATGCTTCAATTTGTGTGTTGTGAACAAGTGGTATGTTATAATGGACGCATATGCAGCGGTTACTGGAACTAGGTGGAGTCGCACTTATTTCATAGGTTTCTGGGCCATTGCAGTAGCTTTCACCCTCAATGTTGTTGTGGCTTTCTTTGCTGAGGCATTCACCAGCCAAATGGAGAAAGCTGAGAAGCTCAAGGCTCGAGAAAAGAGAAGTTCAGAACAGGAATTGTTACCTCGTGCTGGTGTTTTGATGAGGAAGAAATCTGGTGGTGGTGCTGGTAGCTTGCCACGTCGAACAGCGAAGTCTCTGTCATACTACGATTTATATGAAGATATTGTTAAGAAAACTTAAAATATCCCTCATTATGTTCCTTAATTAGATTATTAACTGTATTTAGCAGGATGATGGTAGTCTTCACTTCTGGGTACTCAGAACTAGGATATCGATGCCAACTATCTTGACCTCACTTAGCAGCCAACTGCTGCTTGTGGCGTTTGATTTGAGAGGACTGCCTTGTCACCAAGATGGAAAGGTTTATTTCAATTCTTCTTACAGTTAGTCCTGAATTACTCAGTTTCAAACCATTTAGTCATTATCTGTAAAATCTGCAAATAGAAGTAAGAAGTATATGGTAGCCATTGAGCCTCGCTCTCTTGCATTGCCACCTGGTTTGCTGAAATTCTAGAGAGATGTAGATGTGAATTAGGTAGTTCTAGCTTCAGCGGCTGGACTCTAATCCAGTTCTGACCACCTCTGAGTTTATGAACATGTGTACGAGGAGAAATGCACAACTCCCAACTTAAGCGAGGATGGGTCTTGGTTTAAATTAATGTATTAGGTAGCATGTAGAATAGCAGTTTTGGTGTATTCTCACAACTAATTAGTAGGCTTGTGGAGGAGTATAGGTGTGTTTGCATACATATATATGTATATGTATAGATATATGTGTATATTAAAATTAGACAATGAAATTTGCATGCCAAATTTAACTGCAATAACCAGAAAATTCAAGTGAGTTTGATTTTACAACAGCGTTTTGAAAAAAAGTGAATCATTCTTTCATTTTTACATACATTTTGTTTAAACTAATTTAAAGCATAATTTAGTAAAAATTTTATCATGTTGCAACAGAGTTTAAAATTTTGATAACCTAGTACAAAAGTTGTTGAATATATAAGTACTTGCTATAAACTTTTACAAGTTTAGGACCAAAACATCATTTTTTTATTAATTATAAGCAAATTTGTGAATGCCTTCTTTAAAATTCAAAAAACAAAACAAAAAAATTAAAACAGATTTAAAACATCATCTTGATTGCATTATCTATGTCTTGGTACTAAAGGTTAAAAACATCAAAGAACTTTAAAAAATGACAAAATCTAGATTTTAATAAATTATAAATTACTTATGATTTTTTATATTATTAAAAACGTTTTCCTAAAAATTAACTATTTTGTAGAGTAAGTTAGCTATATAAGGTAACAACAATGAGAAATTTCCACACAAGTATAATCAAACAAGTACCATCTTTGTAAATTAGCATACCTTTTTTAGTTACTACATTTAGATGTATTAGATTTATTTGTATTAAAGACAAGAAAAACCACAATAGAAGTATAATCCAATAAAAGTCAATTAATTAAATGGAGTTAAAGAATCTACCAATTTTATAATTCTATAGAGGGATAATATAGTCAAAATGTTTTATTTTCACTACAATGATGACTACTATAATACTAAATATGTTGGTTAAATTAAATATATCTTATATTCTTTAAAGTTTGTTGATAGAGATAATAGTTGGAGTTTATTTAGTATCTTCTTTGGTTGGTTGATTCTACATGTATTTAGATACATTTGTTATTAGTCATATAGCTTGTAATAGAGATAATATATTGTTTTAATAATACAAGATGTATTTATTAAATGTGCTTTGCTTATATTATAAAAGATTCTTTTGCTAGTGATGACTATAGAAAGTATGTTTAAAATTTGAATTGATAAGTTGTTGCAAAAATGGTATATAATTAAGATAATCTAAATAGTATATTGCCTATTGCAATAGATTAGAACAAATAAATATAACAAAGCAAATGATTAATGATATTTATAAAACAAAAAAGGTTAATTGATGTATCATTTGGAATAAAAGTATGCAGAAAGATGACAATCTATCAATTTTTATAAATTTATTTTAATTTGATAATTGAATCAATAATAATAATAATAATAATAATAATAATATATAATTTTTTTTTTTATTAGTTGTAGTTTATTTTATAGAAAATTTGTTCTAATTAATATTGCAAGACAATAAATATTTATTAGAAATAATATTTATTACTTGTTGAATATAATTTATTTTTAATTTTGCAAACATGCACTAAAGATATGGTAGTGCAAAGAATACTTGGCGAAGACTTGAAAATATGATTGGTTTCTTGTATTTGTAATAATGATAAGACAAAATTTGTATTAGCTAATGTAAAATGACATTGGTCTTAGACAAGCATGTTTGCCTTTTCTTGGAATATTGTCTTTGTTTGGTGGTCTTATAATATTTAAATATCTATAACTTATATTTAGTAGTTTTAAATGTGTTAAGAGTATATTATTTATTGCACAACATATTAAAACATGGCTCTAATACCAAACAAAAATCTTATAGAATATATACACATATATAAGTATAAAAGCCCAATATAAGGATAAGATTTTTATCTTGTTGGATTGAGGTAAATCTACATATTTACAATTTTTTTGTAAAAATATCAAAACCTATAGTGAATTTTTTTTTATTGAAATACATTTATTTTAAAGAAGATAATCTTCATATTCAAGAATTATTTTAGACAAACTTACCTATATATACATATATGTATATATATATATAATATTCATAGAATAACAATGAAATTTTGATTTACTTGTTTTAAACCACAATGACAAAGTTATTCAAACAAATCATATTTATTGTATTTCTAAGTATGGCTATTGCATAAACAATATAGTACAACATGCTATGTTACAATTTGAAAGAACTTTTAAAACTTCTTTGCACATACTTGCAGCAAACATCAATATTAGACATAATTGAATACAACATGATTTTGCAAGATATAAACAATGTTTGCAAATGTTGCAATAGATAGGTACAGATTGACTATACTAAAAAGACTACAAATAATTGTACCCTTGATCATCTACTACACAAATGGGCAAATTTAGTCTGTATTCACCATCGTTCTCACTAGTTTAACATGCATGCTACGCAAACAGGCACGAAAAGTGATATCACTTGTTCAATTTGGTGGTACATGTGGTTGACACCAAAGTTGAAAACACATTTCAATGAAGTAGGTACTACAATGTAGGAGTAGATCTAAAACACAATGACAAGCTTGGCAAGCTACAACTTGACGACTATCCTTGATCATAAGAATGTCAAAGTAATGACATCAAAAGCTGGTGACAAATACCAGTTGATTTTTTAACAAGTCCATAGGAGGTCTTTACATTGGACTACATGCTAGATCACTACAGCGGTTTTAAAATCTGTGAAAACATATCCATGGCCAGCCCAGTCGTCAAATTTGCTTCCATACGTATGCACGCTAGTGAACCGTCACGGCGTCAGCCCCAACACATTGAGCGGGTAAGGCAGTCTGGACTTGCGCGAAGGAGCAGGTTTTGTTACATGTGTTTCACTGTCGAGACAACTGCCAGAATCATAGTACAAAACTAGACGCGTAAAGCACCTGAGCAGTGAGTACCAACTATGACAGATAGCTAAAATTCCGAAGTTGCTTCAGACTTTTAGCCACCATAGTCTGGTCTACCTTTCTATGGTTAGTGTTGCTCATCAAACACTAATTCAGAGGAGGTTATCCATGGTTCTTAAAATACTCAGCAAGTTGCTAGACATAGAGAGCGCCCTATCTTAAGCATCCTGAGACATGAAACTTACCCACAGTATAGAGATAATCTCGATAAATTAGCCACCAGCACATCGTAATGGACCACCAGGTGGAAGATCGGAATGTGATCGTGATCAAAAGCACTTCCGGTGAACAATTGGAGGGCCAGCTTCATCGTACTCAGCTTTGGTGATGTGCTGATTCTGAGGAAAGACAACTTTGGCGAGAATTGCTCCACCCATCCATGCAGAATTGATCAAAGTATTGTCAGGCATGTACTCGGGCGGCTGTCACATAAAATGTCATATTAGAACGCTCTGCTGCCAACACCTTCGATGCAGGAGAATGAGTAGCAAATCAGTAGGATCAGGCTAGCTACCTTAATCAATGACGGTCGCACTGAAGGATTCGCCACTAGAACGGCCTCCTTCTGAAATCGTGAATCCAAACCTGTGGATTCAGTCACCGTTTTAGTGAATTTTAGGAAATTTCAAAAAAATTATACAATAATAATCTAAAGAAGCTCAAGCAACCACTACAGCTCGTTAAAAATACCACCATTTGCACTACCCTAGTAAAAATTCCTGTGGTTCAGGATCAAGGGAAGATTAAGATCTAATGAAATTTAAATCTGGACTAGAAAAAATTCAAAACGAAGGGCAAATAGGCAATTACCAATTGATAAAAGGAACCATTTGGCTCAAGAATTCATCACCAATCTTATGCTTCAAATGAAAGACAACGATTATTTATGACATACCCCTTATCATAGAGGTGCCTCCACACAAAACGATGTTTTCAATAAGCTGCCGCTGATTCTCAGAAGGGGAACACGTTGATACGCTGCGAAGCAACTGTTCAGCCAGACCATCTTCTTCTATTCCAAAGATAGAAGGCCGTAACAGAGCTTCGCCGACATCGTATCTTTCTCTACCAACAGAAATAACCTACACAAAGCGAAGGTCATGTTTTAAAGAAAAAACAACAACATTTCAGAACAGATGTTTCTGCATACAGTAACTACATTCTCTCTCCATGTTGCCAACAATTAACTCTAGACCATTTCTCGTGTAAAACTCAGATATAATAATGCACACCTGCCCATCAGGAAGTGTGTGTTGTATCTTAGGACAGGCTTCAGCAGTCGCGACATAAGCTGATGAGTCTTCAGCAACCGCCGCATATTTTTCCTTAAGCATCTCCACAGTGGCAAGGTCTAACTTCACATCAGGTTGTGACCGTGCAAGCTCTTTCGCAAGGAAATCGGTAAGATCCTGACCAGAAATTTCAAAACGCTTCACAGCATTGTGCTGTATGGCCCCTTCCCATACAGGAGCAATATCTGCAATAATTTATAGACAAAGAAAAGAGGGACTTACCCACCGTGCATCAGGGCAGCTGTCAGTAGACTTGTGTGACAGACCCGACCATGTATTCCGATCACAGAACACAAACCAGCAATGTGATCTCAGACAAATCACATTTGTCCAGAAAATGTGTTGGAGCATAATCTAATGGACGACACAACTTTTAAGCACAGTATGTTGAATCAAAATATGTGAGCCATGTTGTTTCTGAAATCTTTCCAAGTGGACTAATTCGGTAACTAGACCTTAATAAAAATAAACGACTTCAAACCAAACAGAGAATATACCTATCTTTCCATGCCCAGCATCAATAACGACACCAGTAATGCGGCCTACAGCATAAAGAGAGAGCACAGCCTGCTCCACTGCATAAAGACCACCAACGTTGAAAGTCTCGAACATTGTCTGAACCATTCTCTCGCGTGAGACCTGTAGTTCAATATAAACACAGAAGCTTTAGCAACGCCCACAACCCGTAGCAAAACCCGTATAAGAAAACTTAGGCACCTAAGAAGAACGTTCATAAGAGGTTAACAAGTACAGGTAAAATTGCACCAACAATCAACTTTACTGAACATCAGACTCCAAGTACCCAAACAACTACGCAGACAATAATATGAGCGAAATTCTTTGCTGAATAATGTGGCAGCTGCGCTCATCCAAACTGCTTTAGATGACGACTATGAACTGTGCACAAGTAGATCTTCGAGAATATGCACACAATAAAATCTCCAGGAGTGACCTCGAAGAAAAGAAAAGAAAAATTAAACAATATAAACCACTTCTCATATCTAGCTTTAAAAACGAAATTACAATTGATATCATCTACTTAAGTGTCTGCCACGAATTTAGAAGTAAAACTTAGTCAAGGACTAACTCGGCGCAAAAAATTTGGGAAACCAAATAATCACAACGTACAAGAGAGAAACAAACCTTAGGAGTCAACAAAGGTTCGGCAACAAGAAGCTGTCCTTCGTTGCCAGGTTCCCAACCAAGGCCGGTGTAGAAAGTATAGCGCCACAGGTCTTCCATTGCATCCCAGTCTTTAATTATTCCTCGCTCAATTGGATGTATAATGTCCCCAATAACGCCATCGTTACCATGCACCCCATCCTCCTCCACCCTCGTCATTGATGTCGGAAGGATCTGCTCAACGATTCATGCGTTAATCTTCCGTTGTTTTCAAAGTTTCTGGAAAACAAAAATAAAACCACTCTGCACTGCCGTTTTGAGCCGACTCTCCTAACCAGAAAAATTGCGGACTCGAGAGCAGGTACAGGGGTCATAAATTCTTCGAATACAAATGTAAACCTTCTTAAGGACACACGGGCAAACCACATCATAAAACAAGCTCACAGCCAGCGTCCGCACCAAAAATTTCAGGTTGACATTCTCTTCGAATTTCTGCTTGGAAAGAAGGATTACCCGTAGAGGATTAAGTTTATTATATTCGATTTCCTGCAGCACGGAATACTTTGGACAAGATGCCCTAGACTCTTTCATAAACCCTAGACCAGCAGAAAATTAGCTTCAAAAAATACGCTACCGAATTTACAAAAAAACCGACGAAACAAGCCACAGCGGGAACAGTGCGTAGAACAGCAATCAATCACAGACATACAAACCTGCAAAAACTCATCTCTAGCATTAACACTCACTCCCGAAGGCGAAAATGCACGAACTATCATAAAAACACACCAAGAAAAATTCACACGCAATGATTCAAACGACTCCGGAGATAACAAACATGACTAAACTACTCCTCTCACATTAAAAACCGTTTGTCAAGGTTCGTGAAGCGGCAAAACAATATCAACAACACATTAAATCTCAAGAAACTAAAGCTAAGATTTATCTGCAAAAAAGACAATCGAAACGGAAAGAGATGAGGGCATATACTATAGACGGGTCTTGGTCGGGGATAGCAAAGCCCGCCTTCAGGTACATCGATCCTGAGTCGAGCACAGCCGGCTCCATAGCTGCAAATCCCGCTCGGCACCCTTCCTTCGCTCCTCCCGGAAGATCATCAGAAGTCCAGGAATCGCAAAACCCGTTCACGTCGTGGCACAACTACTATCAAGGCTCCAACCTCGACTAAGCGAATGCTCCACTTTGGTTCTGCGACAACACAGCTTCGTCTTCTCTGGGGCTATTGCTCACCATTCCCTCGCAATACAGATTTTGAGCGCCAAGGATTCCAACTAGGACCATTTCGGGTCCACGTCGGATGCCATTACGGGCATTATTTGCGCGCAAACAGTGTGACTTTGATGCTTCCTCGGCTGCGGGATTCAAATCAATACTTTGGTACCAAATCTGTGTTATTCTTCTTTGATGCGTTCTTTAGTTAAAGAGGTTAATTTTTTTGAATAAAATAATTATTAGAATAGCATAAATAGAGATATCTTTTTTTGCATGTATCATAGCTTTAGAATCAAATGAAATAGCAAATTTTCCACTTCTTTAATAAACTAGAATTGCTACTCTTTTACAAACAATTATGTTAGAAAATTTGATTGTATGTATTTGGAAATTCTTCAATTTTTTAGCTTTGAAAAAAATAAAAATAATAATAATAATATAAAAAATAATACAAAGTAAAATAAAAACACAATCAAAAGTGCATATATATATATATATATATATATATATGTGTGTGTGTGTGTGTGTGTGTATATGGCAATGATAAAGCAATCCAAATTTTTACTAAATTGACCTACATATTTATACCATCGTTGTACCCTTTCAATTCCATCTTTGCTTCCAACCATTACCTTATTCCCAATTGTTCCTTTATTCCCAATTATTGCCCCTTGTTCTTGACGTTTCCAATCCCCTATCCCCATCCTTAGCAATGGTTGGGAATGGAGAATAGTTGGGAACAAGGATGGAGGTTGCAAGGGTACAATGATGGTGAAGATAGCGTGGGTGGCAATATATATATATATATATATATAAACTTTCTAACTCTTTGGAAGTTGGTTAAGAATTTATGATTTACTATTTTAAAAAGTATTAAAATAATTTTTAGACCACTTGTAGTTAGAACTTGATAAAATTTATAGTTTATAAAATAATTTAATTCGAAATTAATAAAATAACAAAGTGATCTTGATTAAATAATAGAAATTAGTTGTAAAGTATAATTAAACTCTATTGTTCTAAAAGTGGCAATGTTTTTTCACATATTCAATAAATAAATAAATATATGTATTTTAAATTTTTGTTAATTTTGTTTAATTGATACATTATATTTTTAACCAATTAATTTAAATTTTACAATTAATATAAGTGTAATTGATTTATCTTCTATTTTGAAGTATGAATTAAAAAAACTAAAATCCAATATCAGAAAAATTTAATACAAAATATTACAAGATAAATGTAATTAAAATATTAGATATATTGAACAACAATATAATCATTCAACTAGGTTATTTGGAACAGATGGTTTAAAAAAATTAATCAATATATTGGTATCAATAAAAAGTTATTGGTAACACATTAAATATTTTTTTAAATATAAGATTTTTTTGGCTAATATAATGAATATCAACTCAATATTTTATTCAAAAAATTAAAATTTAAAATAAAAGTAAAAAATAGATTTGAGTAGTTTTTCTCTATGAATTGAAATTTTAATCAATCTAATTTAAATTACATTCAAACCATCAAAAAATACATTGACTTAATCTCCATGGTTAGTACTGAGTATTAAATAATAATAATATGAAATCATCAAATAATTTTCTAAACTATTGATATCTTGTTCAACCAGTTATGATCTTTAATCATTTCTTCTCTTCAAATAATAAAAATAACAATAATCACAAAATATAGTTATATATAATTTTTGGAGCTGAAATTATTGTTCTTATAAAAAAAAAGTATTAAATTTTTTAAAAATAATTTCTTCATTTTCTAAATGGCTTGTAATTGAATAATTATTTTTATTTTAAAAATATATATATTTCTTCTCTTTTAAGATATGTGTCAAATCAAACATACAAAGATCATGAGGTTGAAATATACTATATTATAGAAACATGTAATATAATTTTATACATTTGAAAATTAAATTTTATAACTATTATACTACAATTATAACTTTTTAAATAATTCTTAGGTTTGAAGTATCCAAATCTAAAAAAATGAAGCTCTTATAAACATCTATGTTTAAAAAGATTCTAATCGTATAGTTTCAAAAAAAATATAAAAATGTTTGATATATAACAAACTGAAAATTTAAAGTGTCATATTGTCCATTATGCATCTTATTTTAAATTATATAAAATTTCTTCTAAATTGTAAAATTTTATAATTATACTTACACAATTAACAAAATAGCTAATCTACCTCGTTTCAGTATACTGCACTAATTAGTCCTGTAATTATATAAAAATTAATCTCATCACAATAAAAGTTAATAATTATTGATTAGTTTAAATAATCAGTTTATAGAATTATTACTTATAAATTATGTAATTATCTTAAATAAAAAAATACTAAAAATATAATGTAATTAAAAAATATATTAATTTTACCACTAATATATATGTATATATATATATATATATATATATATATAAGTCATGATAAAATTATCAGCTAGAAATAATTACCGATAATGGAACAAATGCTAGTTATTCATTGGAAAAAGAAAAAGAAAAGAACAAAAATCATTGGCTATAATTCCAAAGGCATTAATTTCAAGAGAAGATTGCTTCTAGCTATGAAGATTATTTTTCTAATTGTAAGAAGTTTAAATTTAATGGTATAATTTTAGATCTCTTGTTATGAGTTATAAATAATTTTTATAATGATTTTTGTTGTTATGATTGAAAGTTAATATAGCTATTATATTACTTACATCTTTTTCTGATCAATCTCTATTTTTAAGATTATAACTAAATGCAGTTTATTTCAATAAAGAGTATTTGATCAATCATTTTTAATATTTGATTAGTACCTTAAACATATTGTATGTATTTAAGATTTAAGATCATGTGTACTATAATTTGGATAAAATTAAATAATTTTTTTTATTTTGTGTATTTATTAATATTATTATTTGTTTAAAGTATGTGTATTATTTTAAAATATGTTATAATGTATGTCTCAAATTACTTATATTATGTTTATTTTATTTCATTTGATAGAAATATTAATTTTTGAATCAGAATAATTAGTTTGCTAAATAAAAAAGATAATAATTAACATGCTAGTATAGTGACTTTAATCATAAAGATAGAAGATCTAAAAAATATTCAAATAACAATAATAGATTTATTTTATTCAATTTTAATATTTAATGTTAACATCTAATGAAGAAAGAATTATAAATCAAAAGAAGATCAGTATATTTTAGAACAAATCGACGTCACCAAAAAAATATAAAAATATAAAACATAAAATAAAATCAATAAAGAAACAAAATTATTATTATGTAAGTTTTTTATAACATTTTAAACATTATTTTATAACTTTGAAGTTTTTTTCACAATCTATCACTTTTTTTTTGTATCAAACTTCTAATAGAAGTTTGTATAGCCATGTTTAGAATTTAAAGTTACTTTTAGTTCCAATCTAATTTTAAGAATCTTTTTGTACTATTTTAAGAAGAATATAAAATTATATTTACTTATATTTATATTATTTTATATAAATATATATATCATTATTTATTTCTTTAAAAGTCATTTTTTGAAAAATAAGATTTCAAGTTGTTATACAAATTGATCAATTTTAAAATAATTGGAACGGTATTTAATACAAACTTTAGAAATGTTTTTTTTCTTTTTCTTTTTAAAGGTGATTGACAAATACTTTTAGCCATCATTAAAATCCTATATTTAAAAAATAATTAATGTTTAGAATGATTCTTTTACCATTATAAAAGATTTATATCCATCTATAAGAAAACTTGTGTTGAATTTTGACAAGACAAACATTTAGTTTTAATAATAGCTGCACATATCATGAATTGTTTTATTATTTAAAGTATGGTAGTAGATAGATTGTGTCCCACTATTTATGAAATGAATAATAAATTAAGAATTAAAAAAATATTACTTTTATATCAAAATATTAATAATCATAATAATATAAGTGATTTGTTTTTAAAATTTCAAATAATATTTCTTCAAGTAAAATTCTAGGTTTTAATTTTTTTTTAATTTAAGAAAAAATTATAAAACAAATATGAATCATTGTAGAAAGAATTAAAATTATTCAAAATAAATATTAATAATTTTTTATGTAATATATTATTACATTTACAATTGGTTACTATTTAATTGTGATTATATTTAATGATTAAAAAGAAAAATTACAAATTCTAAAGAAAAATTATTTTCTTTAGAACCACACCTTAGAATTAATCAAGTTGTAATTCATAAAATTTCTAAATTAATTTTCTTTAGACATATTACACATCTAAATATTCTTACTACAAAAGTGTAAAAAAATTGAAAGACAAAATAAAATAAAATAAAAAATATGATTCCAATTAAGTTTATACACAAGTGAATAAAACTACACAACTTGAGTCTTATGCAAGTGTAAAGTTTGTACTTTATTTGATATCTGAATGTGTATTAAATAATAATTATTACTAAAAGAATCTAATGAGAAAAAAATTAGGTTTCTTCTTTTATCAAAATATTTTAGGTACAACAAATTGTAATATTCAATGAAATTGTACTTTAAAATAAAATGAAACACACAAGTAACAATGAAATTCAAATTTTGGTAGGTTTAGTATTGAATCCACTGCTCCTTGAAAGCTGATGTGCTTGGCCACCACATTTCACAAATCATCATCCTCATGGGAATGATTGGCTAGGGCTACAACATATATACTGCCTTGTGATGGCATAG